AGGTACGGATTCAGGGAACACATCCCTGAATTCGATCAAATCCTTATACAAAGGATTTGCCTGAAGTGACTCCCAGGATTGGGACGCGTATCGCTCAATCCGAGTCTTCTCATCGAGGACACTTTCGGCCATCGATGAGCTGCTGAGAAACCGTTCGTTCTCAGCAAATACTGTTGCCGACCGAATGTCGGTCACATACTCGTCCTCTGTGACGAGTATGCAGATCCGCTTGACTTTGCCACTACGCAGATCACGCAAGAACCGTTTCGGCTCTAGCGTTGGCAACTGAGTTATCTCCGAAGTCAACTTCGGAGGCACAATCATATCAAGCGTATAAGCGCCTACGCTTGATCCGTCATTAACCAAGACGTTCAACGTCTCGGTTTCTTCCTGGGAACTTGCTTCCACAGGTTGCTGAGGGCCTAATCCTTCAGCAAGCGACTCTTGAGGAATTCCTTCCTCAAGTACGTGGGGACTTATTCCCTCGACGTCTTCCGACTGTGGCTGTGCAACCACAGTCAGGAACCGATCCTCTACGGTCGACTCTCCAGTCGACCTAGGATTTCCATGTTGCCCCTTGAGAGCAATAGGTTTCTTTCTTCTAAGATGCTGCCCGCTAGGCATGCATCCATGTCCCGGTCCACTCGACTTATTCGAGTGGTGGACCTTCGGCGCAGCCTGTACTTCTGTACAACCGCCGGGAGCTTGCTCCACAGTGTAGTGATCAACTACACTGTGATCTTGTGCAGTCGTGCTAACGACCGTACCGCAAGTGAGGCCATCGCACTCACTCGCAGAACATCCACACGCTTGTGGACGCTCCAAGATGTCCATCAGATGGCCATCTGATGAACAAGCAGCAGGCATCTTCACGGATCGATGCTGCCAGCTCACTCTTGGCTCGTACTTTCTGAGCCAAGGTAATCCCAGGATGACATCAAATTTGTCATCCAGATCTTGTACGATGAAGTCATCATCGTACTGTTCGCCCTCTAACGTGTAGTGGATTCCTACTACACGTTTCTCAACGGTTATCGATGCGCCTGTTGCAAGGCGCACCGTCATCCTTGTGAGGGGAATGTCGCGCTCAACGAACTTGAGCCTACGACCCTCTAGTGACTGGCGACGAACAAAGTTGTTCGACGCCCCACAGTCTACTAGGGCACGAAGCGACAAATCATTTGTCGCTTCCAACTTCAAGGTGATGAGCGAAACGTCATCACCAGGTGCAGAGACACACAATGATTGTGTATCTGGAGCAACTTTCGTCAAGAGATTTGCAAATTCTCTTGAGGTTGCTGGATCAGTAGGGCGCTCCGCCCCTACTGACCCCGACCATTTTTTGATGGTCCGTCTCGCTGTTGCGGCTTCGCAACAGCGCTGGACCCACGCCCATTGCCCTTTCTGGCAAAAGGTCGTCCATTTCGCTCAGTACTGTTTGGTACTGGGCGTGGAGCACTACACTCGTATGCGTAGTGCCCTAACTTCTGACAGCGATTGCACCTCTGCAATCGCTTGTTGTTTGTAGAGCGAGGTCTCTCGCTCTCAACATAGCAGAGGTCCATTGGTTCTGGACCTCCGATCTCTTGTCGTCTCGGTGGACGGTAAGAGTTTGAGCTAGCATGAGCCTGTCTCATGCTAAAGTCTTCCTGTTCCGCGGCTGATATCGCTTCTTCTAGCGTATTCAGCTCAAGGCGGAACAGGTGGCTCCTGACGGGCCCTTCTGCGAGCCCTTGCATGAACACCGTAATCAACGTGTGTTCATGTACTGGGTTGGCAGTTATACTACTCGCAAGGAGTCGTATATGTTGTGCGTAAGCGTGCACATCACGCTTACCCTGCGTGAGTTTCAGGAGCTCTGAGCGAGCCCTGAACTCAGCACGTGGCGGCTCAAACGTTTGTCTGAGCCGGGACTTGAAGTCATCTAGCGACCTAAACACATTTGGGTCGCTACTCTCGAGGCCCAGGGACCAAGTTTTGGCACGCCCTGCCAAGTGGGTCTGAGCAAATGTGAGTTTCATTTGCTCATCTTCGACGCGACGAGCCCTTAGGGCTCTGTCGAGTTCGACAAACCATAGTAACAGGGAGTCCTCCGGGACTCCACTGTACTTGGAGATGTCGACTTTCATGACTTCGGGACGACGCGCATGCGCCGTCCCGCCCACAGCAGCATGGAATTGCTGCTGTCTCAACAGCTCCGTCTGTTGAGCACCGAGTTCTCTCAACTGCTCGGCCTGTTGAGAGCCTTGCTGGTGAAGCAAGGCTACTTTCTCCCTCTCGAGAGCAAGTTCATTCTGAATGAACTTGGCGATAGCGGCATGTTGTTGGTCTCTGTCTAGAGACTCCAACATGGTGCTGACGACGAGTTCGCCTACGGTAGAACTCATTCGTTCTACCGCATCCCATTCGATGTCACTCAAATGGGTAAACCCTTCACGCGTGGCGTGAAAGGTGTCTTCTTCATCCAACATGTTCATGTTGGATGATGTGGTCCTTGGAAGGACTACAAAGTGCTACCAGGTGTAACGGGACACACCCTTGCGTAACTTAACGCAAGGGATTTGGGTGCCCCGACGGACGTACACGTGGCAAGCGAGGAAGCGTAGGTAGGGTAAAAGTAGAACTGTTATATTAATAAATTAAGTCTTTAAACTACTGTCTCTTCGTTTGACCTAATTCAATTATACTAATATAACTGCATGTATGGTGACGTCTCGTCACCACTCATTGCGCGCGTCTTGCGGCGATTGGTGGGTTGATATCATCACGATATCAACCAATGAACAGACCCTTTGGTCGACCCTTCAATATCACCACTTTGGTGATATTGTTTTAAAGAATATCCATCTTTATATTCTTTATTGTCACTTTCCTTAAAGTGACAATTTCATGTAACGGGCTGCCCCGTTACACGTACAGTACGTGAGCCGCTTCTACCGTCTTTCGGTCTACCTTGTGTAGTAAATTGCCTATGTAAACGTCCAAACATGCACGACCCAACCGATGCATAATGGAAGCAGAAATTTGATTGTGCGCTCGACCATGCAAAGCTGGATTTGCTTGCCTATGAGCGCATCCTTTAGTCTTCAGGCGTCATCGTATGAAGAGGAAATGCTTTCAATTAGTAGTGCGTCCCGAGCGATGTATTCGCTTTTCGGTTTACTCGATAGATCAAGATCGAGCGCCTAGCCGATCAAGAAGTTGGCCGCGGCAAAGTCAACGATCAGCTGCTTGGAATGGTGGACGCCATCCTGACGCAAATGTTCTCGATTGCACCCGAGTCGATGAACGGATGTAACGGTGAATAGTATGCGTGCCTACAAAGTTCCGGCTGACTTGTAGGCTACCTGCCGTACCGAACACAATCCACATAATGTGCTATGACAACGATGGGTGAGCATGATGAGCGCATAAGGCTCGATGGGGCTTACACAGATGAAGATTTGGTATCAAAGTTCAAACAACGTCTTTGCCCCGATGCTTGATAGGAGTAAAGGTCATTTTCGACACAGTACACATGTCGCCGAGGCTATGTATGCTAGATCGCCAGGTTATACTGCTACAAGCGGGGGCAGCAGGCAAACTGTAACAGATGGCAAACTAACTACCCGCGTAGAAACTTGCAGTCGCTATGACTGTCGATTCTGGGTGTCATGACAACGTTGAAGGACCGTCTACAAGGCGGTATGAAGTGAACGTTAGTTTGCACTGTGGCGAAACATGTAGCCTCTTTGTGCACTACCTCGTACAAGTAGTCGCTCATGCAGATTGCCATATTCCAATGACACGGGCACGGACAGACATCGTCCAAACTGACATGTCATGACAATGAAGACGAGGAAGAAATATACACTGCTTGTTCCTATCTGTTTGCCACAGCTTTTGCTTGGTCGTCAAGAATACGTACACATGTACCCCAACTACCCCACACGGATCGGACCGAGCGTCCGGGACGAGATCTTCCATCGTATCGATAAAATCTACCAATGCATCCTGGTCATCAGCGTAATGAACAGTTGCTGAATGCAAGTCCTCAAATGCATTGCCGTGCGACGTCGTACGATACAAGTATACAGCCGCGCTTGTGAACGTTGCATTGACGTCATCTGTGCCTTCTCTTTTGCACCGACAAATAAAGGCGTCATTGCCACCATCGCGGTCAAACCGCACGTGTCTGTTAAGCATAAACACAGGACGTTTGCGTACTATGCCCACGATACTACCCCCTTCGGCCACGTCCTTAGCAACGCCGTTATCTTGCCCCCCCTTTCTACCAGACCTTACAGACCAATGTCTTGTCTTCGTCTGTCACGTATCCTCAGTTGCAATCACTTAGGGCTTCGACACCTGTACTCAAAAGGCACTGAGAAAAACCGGCAGCTATCAGCAATGGATGCAGTCCACCGTCGGACATCGAAACTGCGACTTACGGGCGAAAAACGTAAGTGGATACGAGCGATCATGGTCAAAGAGAAGTGGCGGTTTCTATCGGATGATGATAAACCGTCGCAACAGCATCCTCAGGCAAGATACAATGTCCGACCGTGAGCGACGGCAAAGCCGACTAGCAGTCATCAATTGCCACATTACAAGCTTTCAGCCAGCAACACCTACCAAGTTCAACGCCTGCTCGAAAGCACAAGGACGTCGTGCTCACTGGGAGCTCGTAAGACACTTCCCGGAAGACGCTCACCTCAGCGGTTACGACAGACGCCACACTTGAAACTACGTGCAAATTAATTGTGCCCTTGCTCGTTCTTGTTGCTCACCATATCGTTCATTCTTCACCAGGACCAGTATTTCGTTTAAACGGCAAACAGCGGCCTTCCAGCACGGATTGCGATCTGCGCTTGTTACTTCTAGAATGATCTCGGTCGTGTGAAGAACGTCAACGATCATTGATCGGCTGAGCGCTACTTACAATCCATTTGGACGTCTGATACAACGCATAGCCGCTCGCACACTTCTTCGTCGTTCTCGCCACCAACAACGACGGCCGGTTACTCCAGCTCCTCCTGACTCTCTTCCATACATTCAACCACGCTCGTTCTTTCAGACTGCTCTTTCACATCCTTCGCTGGGCCGACAACGGATTGACGTTTCTCGATTATCAGCTGCATCATCACTTTTGTCATGTAGTCGTATGCGGTTTGCTGGTCTGTTTCTTGGGCAATAGTCAAATCCGGTCCGCTGATTCTGCGCTTGTTGTCGTCGCTCCTCTCTTCAAAGCAACCCGGTTCATCACTTAGTACGTTACAGCTGGGCGACGTGACGTCAGTTCCCGCGCGCGTTTCGTTCAAAGTCTTCAGAGCAAGTTCGATATCATCCGCAGATTGGTCACGGAGGAATGCTACATCACGATGCCAATCCGCAAACACACGCTTGACAGCATTTGGGACCTCAGAATCGTCTTGTGTCGGATTCAAGATGTTGTCAGAAGGCATCGCCACAGACTCCGATTTTGCATCGTTGTTCTCGCATTCATCATCGACAACAATAACCGCATCTTCGCTGCCGACACAATCGACAATATCGGCAGCTTCAATATATACGCTCCTACTGGCCGCGTCGTCATGATCACTTTGCAGTACACTACTTTGGTATAGTAGCGAATCATGTTGTAGCCCAAAAAGCTGCTGCGAAGCACGTGCCCACATAGGAATAGCATCCACTGCGGCTTGCTCAGCTCTTAGGTATTCACTACAGTTGCTTGTTCCATCATGTTGTTTCCACTTAGACGACGTGTATTGCTTCGCAACGTTGGAACTGGTTCTTGCTTGTACCTTGTCTGCACGCCGATTAGTAGTGCGAGCTCGGCGGTCGCTCGGGAATATGACAGCGAGAGCAGACTTCAGATCCAGAATCTGCATCACCCTTGATGGGGGTAAGACTTGCGATTTTCGTAGGTTCTCCTTCGTCCTCTCCAGCCTGTCCATCATTTTCACGAGATTCATACGTCGCTTAACCAGCTTCTGCATTTGATCGTCCAGTTGTGCCAGCTTTTTCTTCGTCGCTGCAAGCTTCAAGTCTACTTCCTGCTCCTTGCCCATGATTGAAGCACCCACCGCTGCTAGAGCCACCGTTATGTCATCCTCGATATTGGCTCGTTTTCGTTTTCTCGGCTTTTTGGTCTTGGAAGCACCTGCGGCGGAATGCTCACTATCATGACTTGCCTTTGACTTGGGTGACTTTGCCTCACGAGCGGCATTACTTGCAGTATTTGCTCGTTTGCGAGTCTTTGTCTTTGGCTTTGTAGCAGTCGTAGAACGTTTGGACGGAGCAGTAGCTACACGTCCACCGAGACACGCATTATGGTGTGCCTGTTGCTCAAGCATACTCAGCTGCCCTATCGTCGCACCGCACGTCGTGCACGTAGCTTCCTCGAAACCGAGTGCTTCCACGGCTCCACTTTGATCCTCACCGCCTCTTTCTACTGCGCTCTCAGCACACGACCTCACAATACTCTCTTTGAGGCTACCCACGTCCCAACGGGAACCTGCCACCACACTCGTTGAGGGCACAATCCCTATCACCTCACCTTGAGCTGGCTCAGTTTCAGGCTGCTCTACGCTCTCTTCGATAGCAGTCGTTGTTCCAAGCGATCCTACCACCGCTGAGGGTACCACGGACGACGACAACGCACATGTCGCCTCCACATTGTCCTCCTCCGGCCCACACACCACTGGCGATCGTGTCGACGGAGCGACGGAAGGTGACAAGAGCCCACTGGAAGTCGCAGCAGTGCTATCAGCTGCCGTACCATCAGCTGCCCCGTACTCACACAGTCGCGTGTGTCCAACCTGCACGAAGCGCAGACGCGTCCGCCCGACTGCAATGACGTCGCCGTCGTCGAGCAGATAGTTCCGCTGAGGCTGCAGCAGTGCGTCGTTCACTCGGGTGCCATTTGTGCTCTTCGTATCGCACAGAGCGACTCGCGTGCCACTGTCGGCGCCGTCTGCGCACCGAATGTCGGCGTGGGCGCTCGACACCTCCAAGTCCTCAACCAGACGCAACCAGCAGCGCTTCTTGCGGCCGATGGCGAGCGCTGGGGCCGAAGGTGCCGTCGACGGGGCGGACCGAGAGAGCGCGCAGAAGCGATACGCAGAGCCTTCGCGAGGGCCGCAGGTGGCCTCGAGGTGAAAACACACTCGCGGCGCTGCCATTGGACGAGACAGCGCGCACAACGAGAGGGAGCGCTCGAGAAATGCAGTCAAAGCGGAACCCAAAACCAGTCTGCAAGTCTCTGCCTTCCGTCCTCAGTGTTTGAGGCACTCGGCCACTCGCGTAGCTATAGTGCGATCAAAGGTTTGTGGATGTATTTGGCAGTTGAGAGCGACGTCGCGTGCGCATCAAAAGGGGAGCAGCGACGCTTTGGCTGTTTGTTGTCTATGGAGAGTTCAGGTAAGAAGGCACATCTGATCATATATGTCTAATAGGCATTGCGTGCGTGGACTTACTTGATCGATGGTTGCGGTGGACTTGTGTGTGTGTGTGATTGACGGCGGATATGGACGGGAAAAGAATGCGAAAAAGAGAGAGAGAAGTCACCGATGCACGGGTTTCTTGTCATTCGGAACACAAGCAATGCCGGCCGTGGAGCTGACTATGCTTAAAGTGGATGTGGCTTGATTCGGATGCTGGAAAGCAATCGCTCACGCTGGTGATGCATTGTTGGACGTATTTGTAAGGTCATGGACCCTTTACTAGACGAGGACATGGCGCACCCAGTGCGTCGGACGATCTTGAGCTGGACGATGCGTCAATTGAGAGTCTTCGCTTGATTTTGCATATGATGGATGAGGAGCGCCGCAGATTGAACCAAAGGCTTCGAGTACAATTACTATAGCTCGTCATTCACGACAAAAGACCAGTCATGATGACATCGAGGCGCTTCCTCCGAGTCTTGCCCTGTGATGAACGATCGTTCCAGAGAACTGGATGAATATAGACAGTATGCATAAATCACCGACGTCTATCAAATGATCGTCATTTGTGAGGTCGGAAAGTGATGTGTAACCATAGGTGGGTAATGAGTCCACCACGATCGTGGCCATGGACCACAACACACTCGCTGTGTCTGGAAAAAGGCGGGACTTACTTCAAAAGACATGCGTTTCTGCGCGCCTAACTCACACAATCGCGATATCAATGGTAATTATTTGAAAAACAGTCGACTTCTACAAAATAATAGCAGTTCGATTATCTTACCGATAGTTCTCCGTCAAAGAGAGAGAGAAGGAGAGAGAAAGAAATAGTATCGCCAGCAAGTAAATTAGTATTTCTTGCATTGCTTTTCGGGGAGTGGTCTAAATTACAACATCATGTATGAACAAGCATAACTTTCCTATTTTGCAAATCAGATCAACAGTAGCACGGGCGACAAAAGAGGCTCGACCTGTTTTGATCAGCCACTACCACTGTAACGGCGTATGTTGTTACACGACATTGACACTAGTAAACATCAATGCGAATATTATGTCAGCGGATAATATTCAGGAGTGATACGTTCTGGGCTAAATAAAACGAGCCTACTTTTGTATGCATGCCTATCATCGTTCATATTCGTTCGCGTATTTCTTCTTCCATCTCTGTTCTTTTCATTGATCAAATTATATTAGTATCCGTATCAGTTGACCGATAGGTTTCTTACAAAGTCGTTGTCATGACGCTTATGACGCAACCGAACCGTATTATTCAACATTTGCTTATTGATGTAGGTCAGTTTATGTCATTCATTCAGATCTTAACAGTTGAAGTTGCTATGATGCGAATCATAGCGTCGCCATATCGGTTTCATTATAGTTGGACTACGATGAGATAGCACGGGCTTACTGTTTGCAGCGGACGACAATATACACACGAACGTACGTATTAAGTCCTTCAGGTCCAATTCGAACACGTTGCATGAGACCCAGTAACGTCCACGTCATTGGGCAACATTTATGGCACGTTCGGTCTCACGCGCTGACAAAGAATGCATATGCTTGCGTGTGTACATCATGCATAAGACATCAAGAATGCCACGAGCTATGATGGTGGAAAGTTATGTGAATAATGGGGAGGAAAACTGGTCTGACTTCGCCAGGAATGCTCTTTTGTTATTCCTTGCATTCGGAATATATGAATCACTGCATAAAGCCGACATTTATCGATGTGGCCGCTGGCTTGTGTGTACATGTTTGTAAACATCAGCGGTCCCTTTATAATCTTCTGGTAGTCACGTGCACTCTTTGGATTTCTCATTTTGTAGCATATTTTTATTTGTGACTATTTTGTGCTGGTTTTACTTTATCTTTTTTATTTTGTGATGATGTTATACTTTTGGTATTACGAGCCCGTAACCTTAGCGAAGGGAGCATCATAAATGCGTGCGTGTGCACACATACGTCTCTTCAAGCCACTCGATAAATGAATGCTTATGCTGTCGCAAAGCACACTACCATCAACTGTGTAAATTGCTGTATAGGACAAAGAATGAGTTCATATTAACATCCACATTGTCGCAGCCCGAGGATGTAACAATGATAATAAATCTTTGGATCGATCTTACATCAATGTACACGAAGCAGAGCCTTTCATAAACTTTCGACAGCGAGAAAAACCTAAATAATGCCGATGATGGATACATTGTACCAAGCTCAGTGGATTGTAGATCATTAGCACACATGACAGCACCTAGAGCGTGAGGTTCTTTACGCAACCTCGTAGGAATGTATTTACTCACCAAAAATGGTAAGTTGATCGTATAGGTTGAAAACAATCAATGGCATGGTAGACTTGACCGGAAGCTTTGTCTACCGATGATAGCAGTAGGCGCATTATTGTCAGAATGTAGAATGTCGCATCTGTCAGTAAGGTAACAATTATAGCGACAAGGACTGCTTCGTACAATACAATCCTTGGAGTGGCTACTTGCAGTTCTTCGTGTTCGGACTCGAGCACCGGATGCAGATCGGAGTTGGTTTAAGCTTTGCGATGCTAAGTGACCTTTGCTAGCATACATGCCAATACCTTGCGCTTGTAGATGCTTCGGCGCAGGGACACGGTGACCTTGGGTAAGTAACCTGAGCGGTATACTAAGCTATGCTGCCATTCAAATGACGTTTAAAAGCAAGTAGAGGAAGGGAGGTTGCGGCGGTATGACACGAGCCAGTTCTGGACACACATATTAGCTCGCTGTGGTGCTTTTTTTCGTGGATCGCATGCAGGCCGGTGCGTTATCCTGTAGCTACAGTTTTTGGAGCATATGATTCATCCTTCTGCTCGCAATACGGCTCCTATGTCGAGACGCAGTTGCTATGTCGACAGAAGGCATGTGGTTTCTGTAAAAACGGTCGTCGATCCAGCTCGTAAATGCCGTTGGTCATAACGCAAAAAGACATATAAAATTAAAAGAACCCGGATCAGATGTCGCATTCTGGTGTCACCTTTCGCGGTCTATTCGCACACACCAACATCCAGTAGATACCGCGGCTCAGATGGCCGCTTCGGATCAGGTCAAGTGCTCACAAAAGTAGACACGTCGCGCACCTCACGCTAGTGACCCCCTGCTAGTTGCAAGCTGCCAGTGTCATTGTTCATGGGTAACTGGTGTCGACATCTTGGGGGGTTGGTGCGCACATTAGGCCACTTTCAGATACTGCTACTACTACTACTGCAACGGCTGTAGCTCCTATAGGCCGACCCAACTCCACTTGAGTACTTGGCGTGGGCAATCGGACTTCCCACTCTCGCCACCGTAGCGTGCGCTCACTCGGGGATGCCGTTCAAAATGGACGAGATGGAACCGCGTCTGCCGTTGCGGTGGGTTGTCGTGGAAGGACGTGCACCGGTGACACTAATGTCAGTACACGTATCCCGCCCCCGGCCGTATTGTCGGTCTCCACGCAGCTTCCTTGCAGGCACACTTTGGCTGCGTGAGCGGCTTATGGATGGCAACTCGTCGTGTCGCGGTATCTCAATTGGCGGAGGTCGGTGCGCGTGGAGACCAAACGACGGTTTGCGACTCTTCGTTCGGGCTCGTACACGTGCCGCTAGCTTGTGGACAGAAGACCCGCCAGCTCCTTTGACCTTCTTTTTGGGGTCCGTCTTTGCTCTTGTGTCCAGTTCGTGGCTCCCGTTCTCTTCGAACCTGCTTTTGTTCCCACGATGCCCTGCTTGACTCCCGATATCGTCCGCAATGAGAGCAATAGGGAAGTCATCCATGACCTGCGGGTGCGAACCCTTTTCTGGTCGAACGAGGCTCTGACAATGTTCCGTTCGGGCCTTGTGACTCTTCTTCTCGTTCGGATTTTGGATCACTGTTGACAGTTCTTTGCGCAGTCCGGCAATTTGTCCTGCAAAGCGCTTGCGCTCGACGTTCGTAGCGGTACTTGACAGTGTCTGCAGTGACGAAATGCGGTTCACCAGACTACGAATACGTCGATGCGGCCAACGCAGGAGCCCGTTGCGTCGACAGATCTTCTTCATGAGTGTGATGCAGACGCCCAGTTCCTTGGCGACCACTGCCATTGGCTTGTTAAAGTGCGGACGCAATTCGTTGAGCGTCAGGTCCTTGACGCTGCTCGTCCCGCCCACGTGCGCCATAGGTCTCACATAGTGCTTTGTCAGGCTCGTCGGGCTGCCATTCGGTGCGAGGAACATGCTCAGGTCACCTGACGCCATAATGTCACTGAGGTTTGCTGCAGTAGGTGGCGTGGAAAAGCCAGCGAGCACGCCACATTCCTGCGGTGGCTGCTGCACCACCACCGGCATCGGATAGGGCGGCAATGGTGCGGGCGTGGCCGACACTGACCCGAACGGCGAGAAGCTCGAGCCGTGGATCGGCGACATTTGGAGCGACAGCCCCGGTTCGAGCTGCTGGTCCAGCAAAAGCGGATAATGCTGCTGGAACTGCACCGAGTGCTGGCCTTGCAGGTGCATCACACTGGGCATCGCGACGTCCACGTGCAGCGCAGGCGGTGGGGTCCACAGCGCGTACATGTTCTGAGACGCTTCGTAGGACCAATTCGTCGCCATGCACCGCGCGTCGAGCTGCACATCCCGCAGGACCGACGGCGACACGGGCAATACCGCGTTGCAGAGGCCGCCCACGCTGGACAGCTCGTGGCTCAACTGGGGCAGCGCTGTTGGGAGATCGTCGTCTTCCACGTAGGCCCCTGACGGCGGTGCAAACGTCGACGAGCAATTCGACTCGCCCGCTGTCCGGAGCTTCGGTGCAAGTGGCTGCAGAAGACTCACGTCGGGCCACAGGAGCAGATCGGACCGCGAGCTGACGACGACGTCGACGGGCGCCAGCGCTCTGCTCTCCTCGATGTACGCCGCGAGCACGAGCTCCGGCGCTCGGTGCTGCTCCATCTCAGCGGCCATTGCAGCGCAGCAGTTGCGGCCGAGTGCGCTATATCTGTCGAACGGGTCTGCCGCGCAGCTCGGGACGAGCGGAATGGCGCACGTCCATAACGAGTGAGCGGGCGGGCGGGCGGGACGAAAAGATCGTCGAAATCTTTGGCGCGTGTGGCTGTCGCTGTGCTTCGTCGTCGGTGGTGGCGCGTGACTTGGACTGAGTATGTCCGGCGGTTTCGCGCAGTCCACGAGCGCGTCCCGTCCGCGGCGCTGATTGGCCCGTAACGCGTTCGGCAGTGGTCGCGTGTGGTCGTGTGTGTGTTTTTTTTTCTTTTTCTTTTCTTTCGAAAAACGCCTCTTGGACGTCAACAAATCGAATCGGCAACGCCCGCCCCCAGTCGCCAGCGCTCGGGGCGGGCGGACAAAAACGAAGCAGCGAACAACCTGCCTGCCCCGTCTGTCCGCGGCGCAAGGAAGTGCCCGTTCGTGGCATCGGGCGCGAGAAGATGTCCCGACCCTTTCCCTTTCCCGATCATGAGAAAGGGGTCGGTCTTTTCTATGCGCTGGTTGTCACGTCTGCCGTCGGCCAGTTCACTTGTACTCTCGATCGCTCGATGCAGCTGCATCGCTCGAGTGAGACACACCTTTCCCCGTCGTATCACGCGCGGGAGCGCTCCTGCGTCTCTTCCTGCCGCGAGGAAAAGCAGGACGGCAACGTTCGGATCGCGATATCTTTTTCTGTGTCAGACTATCGACAGTCGTTGTCAAGGCAGAACAAGTAGTTGATGTGCGTGAGTCAATCGACGTCACCCCCCCACTCACCTCGAGTCGACGCCATCGCCTCGTCGTCGTCGCTAAGACCGCTCGTACCGCACCGGATTCGATTCGGGAATGCTATCCGAGTGTCTGCGTAGCTTTGTATCGATCTGCCGTGACTCGCGCGGTGATTCTATACGGCACTCACACTACGCATGCGTCGTAATCGCGCCCGACCGCCAGGGGGCGCCTGGACAGAAACAATGCCGAGTGTCATCAACATTGGGGGCACACGACCCAACTTCAAGCTGGTCAAGCCGTCTGGAAGAGGCGCCGATGCAACGACATCGCCGAGCTCGTGCTACAGCGAAAACAGCGGTGCGATAGGCCGTGATGGAAAGGCATCCGAGAAGTCAATGAATGTCTACACCCGACACAAGTGGAGATTCGTTCCGTGGTTCGAACGATTGTTGCTACAGGGCATCGCGTGGGAAGCTTCAATCCGTTTTCGAACGAGCGGCTTCGTCCAGCGTATCGGCAACAGGTCAACCAATATTACAATCGCAGGACCAAAGCCACGACCTCAGTGTCGTCACTTTGTGCCCCGTGCGCTTCCACCACGCGCCCTTTCCATCTCGATGCAGCAGCAGCAGCAGCACATGGCAGCAGTTGGGTCATTACGGCGCAATTCGTCCGGGCAGCTGTGACGCCATGTGGTCCCCCACGGCGATATACACGCCCAGGGGGTTTTCAGGAATCGATAGACCCGTGGCGTGGACCAGCAAAGCTTCGTACCTCCTTTTTGCCACACGGTGGCGTGCTGCCCCATAAACAGCAAAGACATTCACTGTTTCTGTCCAGTTGCGTGCTCGCGCTACGCGAATTCGGAAGCTAATGCATGTGTAATGGCGACGCTTCTGCGACTCTGCTGTTGTCGACCGGAGAAACCCTCTCCCGGGGCCGTACTGCATCAGTGAAGCCATTCACTTACCCGTCACATGGGGACAAGTGAGCAGCGTTTTGTACGTCTGGAGACACGGAATGCGCACATTGCGACCAGTGGAGAAAACCAAAAGAAATCACTGCTGGCGTCAGTGGCGATCGGGTCGTGGGCGTCATTGACCTCTCACTCACTCGCTGCAGTGCTACCGAGTTACAAACGACGTGTCGCCCGTGACGGCCGCAGGGCTGCCACAACTTATACAATAATCGGTGTGGTTTGCTGAACTCTCGCGGCGCCATAGACGAGGCCCCGACACGGTCGCAGAAACGAGTCCACCACGTCGGCGCCCAGTCGGTTTTCGATGGCCGACACGACATATCCACTTGACCCCATTCTTGCGGCGGCAGTGAGGGCCCATTACTGACTCGCCACTTTTCATTACCTTCGGCGCCGCATTGTCCACTTGCTCCAGGGCGTCACCATTCGCGATTCCCATGCCATGCTCAGTGGCTCCAGCGCTGGTCTCTCCTCCTCCTCCCCCCGTCCCTGTCGTTGCCCTCGTCCTTCACCTCCAGCGAGCACAAGAGCGACGACTCGAAACCCACTGGCAATATCCGTCCACGACGTCAATCCTCAAGCACAGCAGCACCAGCAGAAACGGTCCCGCCAGCCACAGGCGATCGGTTCATTGAGCTCTCCGTCTCGTCCGAAGAGCTCGCTCAGTGGGGACGACGACAGCAGCAGCAGCAGCAAGCGCAGACAGGACCGATGCCATGGCCCGGTCGCACGCGCAGCGTCTTGCGTCGGTACTCCCCGCTGGTCCCGCCAATGGCGCTGCTCATTGCGCTGTTGGTACTGCTCGTGCAGGACCACGCGGATGCCGAGAACGATACGGACTCGTTCGACGTACCGGTGATGCAGTGGACCCCATGTGCGCTGGACAACAACTCCGTCGCGCTGGCCAACGACCTCTCGGCGCAATGCGCGACTCTGATGCTGCCCTTGTGCTACGACAGCGCGTGTCAACACGACCAGGAAAACGCGACCATTGCCGTGTCGTTCAAGCGCATTGGCGCGAGCAACAGCAGCGTGAGTCGGCAAACGCTGTGGTACCTGCCGGACCGACCCGATGTGCAGACGCGGGACGACGTGGACGTGCAGATGGCGCTGCTGTTCGAAGCTCTGCATCGAGACGTGGACATCTACACGCTCGACATGCGCGGCACGGGGAACAGCACAGCGCTCGCATGCGAGTCATCGATCGACGGGTCGGCTGTGCAGACGGCCGTCTTTGCCCGCAACAACGGAGTGCTGGAGGCGAGCGACGTCCGGACTTGTGTCGATAGACTGCAGGACTCGGGATACTCGGACCTCGGTGCGTTTTCGCTCACGAGTGCGTCTCGAGACGTCGAAGAAGTGCTTCGTCGATTCCAGGCCGAGTCCAAGGCTGTTGTCTATGCTCTTGGCTATGGTACCCTCGTGGCCCAGCAGCTCATGCATCATCGAAACGTCTCGCAAGTTGTCGGATATGTGCTCGATGGAGCACTGGGCGGCGGCCTGGACGGCGCTGCTCCCTCGACTGCGCTGCCGACGATGTCCTACCACATGTCCAAAAGCGACGAAGACTTTGGTGAGGTTGCGGCAGACTTCTTGGCATGGTGCGAGCGGGACGGAGAGTGCTCCATGAGGTTCCCCAACGCGACTTTGACCACGACGTTGCGAGCAAAACTGGGCGAAGCGTACCTTCGACTTGACACTGACACGACTTCCACGTGCGCGACGATACTCACGGACGTCGAGACAAGTAGTAGACGCAGTATCAACTCTGCCACATTTGCTGGTGCAACGCCTCCATCCTATGTGCTGCGTCAACTGCTGGGACTGATGGTACGCCACAAGAGGCTGTGGCCGTTCGTTCCGGTGGTAGTGCATCGCTTTCACCGTTGCGGCGCCGAAGATCTGCTCCTCCTCACGCGCTTTGTATCGTCCACTTTCGCGCTCGACGATGATGCGGACACACCGGAGCTGCTGTATGCCATCCAAAGTTTCAGTGAGCTGTGGGAATCGCCTCCGCCGGACCAAGTTGTGCTGACAGAGCGGTTCACGAACCAGTCGATCAGTTCTGGTAGGACGTATACGCAGCTGGAGGCGTACTGCTTGTTCACGGGCAGCAATGCCGACGCGTGCACAACGCCTTCTGCCGGGACGTCGTCGGGTCAATTGCCGGTGGCTGCTGCAGGTAGTACGCTATCGTATGCCGGTGAGCCAATGCACACCAGCGCACTTGCGCGTCCTTCGGCCAGCGTACTGTTGCTCAGTGGCAGACTGGACGTGGTCTCTCCTCCGAAATACGCATCGGCTCTCTTCGACTCGATCCCGACGGCAAACAAAGCACTGCTCGTTGCCGCGTACAGCCCCCACAAAGTACTTCAACATGCGCTCGCGTCCAACGGCGACGCGTGCGCCCGTCGAGTGCTGGCGTCGTACGTCTTCGCCAGTGGTAACCTGAGCGCGTACGACGCCTCGTGTATGGCCACGTTGCCGACGCCGAGTCTCGCCATCTCCAGGGCCTTGAGCCAGTCGGTACTCGGGGTCGAAGATGCCTACGATGGTGTGCTCGTCCATAGCAGCAATAGCAATAGCAGCAATAGCAGTGAGTACATTAGTGGCACTGCCGACGTCTCCTTCGACAGCAGCGGATCGGACACGTCGGCAGCCTCTGGTCCGACGCGGGACGAGCTGCAGCGGCAGATCTCGACACTGACGCACTCTCGAGCGCGCTACGAACTCGCGCTCATTGTCGTGGCGAGCGCTCTCGGCGCCGTTGTGGTCGTGTTGGCGGTCGTTGTGATCTACCGCCGCCGTCAGAAGCAGCAGCACACGCGCGACGATCTCGCCACGTTGCGGCGCCTGCACGGAGACGGAGACAGCGAAGTGGAGCTCATGGGCAGTATATATCTGCTCTCGACGAGTCCAACGCAGCAGACGCAGCAGACAAACGAGTACCACGTGCGCTTCGACGACGCATGAGGAGGCCGCGCCTACGTATTTAATTGACCGACTGACCGACTGACCGACTGATCGACCGACTGATCGACCGGTTCACCAGTAGAGATCGCAGCAGGTCGCGTAGCTGTACAATACGTTACGTATTTCGATCGTTCATTCATTCATTGACGTCCGACGGTGCAGTGCTTTTGCACGATGAAAAGCGCTACAGGCCAACAAACGCACACAAACCGATCGCACTCAGATATCGCACACACACACACACACACACACACAGATCACACTCAGAGCCCATTCGCCAGTGCTGGTGCTGCTCCATTGGGTGCAGTCACGTCGCTGAAACAGCTGTAGCGCCTGACGTAGAGGAGTCGCAGCTGGCACAGAAGATTTGACGATCGGACTTCAGTCTCACGAGCGCCACCGTCTTCCACGACTGCGGTCGAAAGGCGAGAAGGAAGATCGAGTGGGCGCGTCGCCCGTGCATAGGCAGGAGCTGCTCGCAGAAGCGACAGAGGCAGTCGCGACGCTCGGAAGAGGGCAGAGGACGTTTCAGTGCGGGCATTTCGATACAGAGCAGAGCGTTGTAGAGCTCTCACAAGTGTATGTGTGTGTGAGTGTATGTGTGTGTGTGTGTTTTCGTCGACGGACGTGGACTCGAAAGCAGTCGGCGCAGAGATCGACGAGTACTGTGACGGGAACTGTTGAGGCTGAAGGTATGTGCCGTCTGCACATTTGAGAATGGTGTGCGTATGTCGTACTACTACTACTACTGGCGGATGACAATGCGATTGTTACTGTACTTGTTCGATCAGAAGATGATTTAGTGGCCATGGAGCGCACTGCGAGATCTGATTCTGAAGCTTGTGAGCAGCGCGGACGCGAGAACTGACCGAAAGACGCGATAACAGCTGCGCTGAATGGTAACAGTACCGAAAAAGCTGATCGCGCGGTGCGACACGTACTGTTTTAAGGATGTGCGTCAGACATGCGCCCGTGGCCAGCAGCAGCCTCTGTGTCTTTTTGTAGGACGAAAGCCGCGTGAACGTGCTCAAACATAGTATCGGCCTCGACCGCCTGGGACGGCTCATGGAAAAAGCAAGTGGACGTAATAGTCGTGATTAGATGCAGGCGGTTCCGGTGTTTAGGATATCAGTTGACACAGGGTCGCCGGACTGAATGGCAGCAGGTCTGGTGACCAGGATCGAACGCCAGGATGGAAATGCCTCGTTCGGCCCCGAAAACATCCAGGGCCTCCCGCGCACGCCACTCACCTCCGCACCGCACCACTTTCGACCAATACTGTCCATTTCCACCCCCAAGAGAGGAGGTAACCTACTTACAAACCCCTCTCTCTCTCTCTGTTGCTAAAGCCGCCAGCCACTGTCTGTCCTGAGATGTGACCTCGTCGCCGCCTTTTCGCAAGGGCAGCCACCACTTTAAAAACGCAGTGCACAGCCGCACCTGCGCCGTCCTACCCACCCGCGCCGTCGTCTCTCTGCTGCTGCCGTTTGATGGCGTGGCAAGCGGAGTCCGAGTGGCGCACCTCAGAGCTTTTGGACCCGACGTGCTCTCTCTCGTCTTCGACGGGCGGTACCGAACGCGCCCAACACGGGGCAGCGAACTTTCAGAGCTTTGGCCCCGACGCGGGTCAAGTGGGACTGACGTACTCGGCGTCCTGTCCGTCGCTCTCGGAGCTCGACGACGTCCATGTGCTCCTAAGCGGAACAGCGGCGACGACGACCACAGGCGCTCAGTGTCTCGTGCCGTATCCGTTCGGGGCGCACGAACCGCTCGTGGACGCGACGGCGGGCGAGTCGCCGCTATTCCTTGCGGACAAGAGCTTTGACCTGCTCCTGCAGCTCCAACAGGCGTACCAGGACGTGCCCCAGCGGCAGTTCCCGCACCAGCAGGTGACAACGGGCCACCCTATGGACTTGATACCGCAGCCGCCGCCGCTGACTGGTGAACGGCGGGCGCTGCACAGCTCGCAGTCGTGTACCAGCTTGTCCAGCATGGAGTCGGAGTATCATCGCACACCTGGTGCGGCTTTGGTCCTTCCGTGACGCAGTGTCAATGGAGAGATGTGGTGTGGAGTGGATGACGGACGGACTGACGGACTGACTCTGTGTGTTGCTGTGGCTGATGCAGCTCCGAGCAAGCGGAAGAAAGCGAGCGAGCGCTGGATGAAGCTGCAGCGTCACAAGTCGTTTGACTCGACGGTGCCCATCTCCGAGGCAATGGACTTTGACGCGAGTGCGTGTGCAGAAAACACCTCGATGACCTCAGCCCTCTTGACTCCGGATCAGCTGTTGCAAGAGTGCGTTAGCGTCGCGTGTTGACAGTTGTTTGCCTCGAGTGCGACTAACGTCATCTGATGATGGTGTAGACCGCTGGACGACGACATGGTCGGATACTGTATCGATGGCACCTCGTCCGCGATGCACTCAGCTGACCCGAACGACTGGTCTCCACTTGCTCCTGCATCTGCCACAAGCTACGCTGGTGATGGGTATATGCAACACGCGACGCACAAGCAGCAACCGCATGCGGATATGCCGATACCCAGTGACGCTGGTGATGACTTTACCTCGCCAGCACATACTGAACCTGTGTCCGAGCTGGACATGTTGCTATCCGAGCACGAGCGCTCAAACCTCTTTGACGCTATTCGGGATTTTCACTTGCCTTGCGGGGCGGAGACCGTTGATACGCAACTTATTCCACAAGAAGCTCAATGCATTGCACAAACACAACGGTCAACGCCAATAGGCGCGAAAGCAACATCCGACGCGCTTTCAACTGGCACCACAGAGACAGCAAGCAGTCGCTCATTGCCCCCGGAGGAACAGACGAACTGTCCAGACGAGGCATCAAGACCTCTCTCGCTCGATTCGGCTTCTTCGCCATCTGCCGCAAGATTGCCTCCTTCTGGTTGTATCCCAATGCGCACGCGCCTGCACCAGATTCTCGTGCTCTCGGTGCAAAACACGGATGCTGCGTCTTCGTTGTCGTCGTACGAGCGAAACTACTTGATGCAGTCGTCGTTGTTTTCGCCAGCAAAGGCACCCGAGACAGCAGGGTCCCTGTGGCTATTGCTGCATGCCGCGCAGTGCGAAGTCGAGTGCGAGATCGCAGACTGTTGCGTGATGCGCCGTGTGCTGAATCATTGTCTAGGGTGCGAGCTGACCGTTGGCAAGTGCAAGCAGCCCTGCAACGACGCGAAGGCCATGCTGCTCCACTACGGGTCGTGCAACAGCAAAGGGAGCATGCACGGGCGGTCTTGTTCTGTGTGCTGGAACCTGCTGGAGATCGACTATTCCCACCAAGCGCTCAGCAACGGCAATGGCGGGGACCACTCGACTGGCCGATATCCGAGTTTCGTGCCGTCGCCTTTCGCCTCGTCACCGACTTCTCTGCAATTGGGCAGTCCACCAAGTGCACCCCCCGTACCACCCGGCAGTCCTACTTTGGAACACCCGCCCGCGTATTGTTCGCCACCTGGACGCTCCACCGTTAAACGTGTTGGCCCCTCCAAGCACGTACACATCCAGCCCAACCCGCTTCCAACAGCGTCCAACCCACTGGGGCTCATTGGCTTGATGCCGCCCCAGTTTGGCCACTCGCTCTCGTTGTATCTTGAACAGACGTCGGCTTTGTTTCGGGCCGAGGTGAAGACTCGGATCGAGAAGCGCGTGACAGCTGCTGCTGGCCAAGACCTGCTGGAGCACATGCAAAAGAAGACGCGGCTGCGCAGCCTGGACGACCTGCGCCTCGAAGCGCGGAGCATTGTGCTCGGAGAGATGGAGCACAAGCTCTTGCTCTACATGCAGGCGTACAACTGGGCGAACGCGCCGGCAGGCGAAGAGAGTGTGTTGAAGAGCGCACCGCAGCTTCCTCCGTATTTGATGAACTTCTCGGTCGCTGCTTTCGAAGCGCAGCAGCAGCAGCAGCAGCAGCAGACTGCGTGTCAAGCAGAACAAGTGCGTGCACAAGCTTTGCCACCGGTAGGGCCTTGACTTCTGTTATTATAAATGAGCACATTTTGCTGTGCGTGGCAGTCGGCGTTGTCGTCGCTGGATTGCCCGGAGCAGTTTTGTGCACAATCGGAGCCCCAAATCAAATAAACACACACACGACCAACCAGCCAAGTGCGACTTTCACAAAACACGACACTCTGCCAACGACAAGTACCGTGCAAGTTGTTTTAAACAATTCCCTCAACAGCTCGTGCGTCCGCGCCGCCACCGTGCGCCGTTCATTGGCCAAAACTTTCCACTCCGTCACATGTCAAAATGCTGCGAACAGCAACGACCCTCCGAGCTGCGCGTCTCACGCGAGCTCAGAGCGCTTCGTGCGGCCTCCACACCGAGTACGACTACCTCGTGATTGGCGGCGGCAGTGGCGGCATCGCAAGCGCTCGTCGGGCCGCGAGTTACCCGGGAACACGCGTTGCCGTCGTCGAGCACGGGCGACTGGGCGGCACTTGCGTGAACGTGGGCTGCGTGCCGAAGAAGCTCATGTACCTCGCAGCGGACATGTGCCACCAGCTCCAGCACGATGTCCTGCATTACGGGTTCGAAACGGCTGGGGCCGGAGGCTCTTTGGGGGAGCAGATGCACTTTGATTGGACGAAACTCAAGACCCGCCGCGATGACTACGTGCGACGTCTGAATGGGATCTACGAGAGGTGGGCGAGCAAACAGTGTTGCGGTCGATATGTTATTGTTCCACAACGCACATGGAAATTGTATACTGTGACGAGCAAACTAGTGGACGGAAGTGCTGAGCTGAGGACCGACTTTTTGTATGCGGGTGCAGGAACTTGGCGAACTCGAAGGTGGATGTGATCCGAGGGCTGGCAAAGTTCAATGAACGGGGAAACGTCGAGGTTGACGGCAAGGAGGTGCTGGCCAAGAACGTGATGATTGCCGTTGGAGGCAGACCGCTGGTGCCTGACATTCCTGGTGCGTTCTTTGACGCTGACAGTGTAGAGTGCAGTCGACTTGCTGATCTGCTGACGCAAACAATGTTATGAACGGACAGGCAAAGAGCTCTGCATGGACTCGGACGGATTCTTCGAGCTGGATGCTTTGCCGAAGAAGGTGGCGGTCGTTGGCGCCGGGTACATTGCTGTCGAGCTCGCTGGCATCCTGAACGCACTGGGCTCGGAGACGTTCATTTTTTGCCGGAAGGAGGGCGTGCTTCGCACATTTGATGTACGCTGTAGTAGCCCTTGCTTGTCCAACGATGCAAAGTGTGCTGTGCGTGACAGTTGCTTGTTGTACTCTAGGACATGGTGCGCACGACGCTGGAGGATGCCATGGCGACAGACGGTTTGCAATTGCGACCCAACAGCAATGTTGCTCAGGTCGAGCAGGCAGCTGATGGCACCAAGACATTGGTGCTGGCCGACGGTTCGACGCACAAGGGCTTTGACGTTGTGATCTACGCTGCTGGTCGTATACCTCTGACACAAACGCTCGATCTCGACAAGGCAGGCGTGGCGACCGACAAGCACGGCTACATACGTGTGAACGAGTTCCAGGAGACGTCGAATCGCAGGGTGTTTGCTGTGGGTGACGTGTGTGGGACCCCGGCCCTCACCCCAGTCGCTGTTGCAGCTGGACGGAAGCTCTCGGACCGTCTATTCGGGAACGTGCAGGATGCCAAGGTCTCGTACGAGAACATCCCGACGGTCGTGTTCAGCCACCCTCCCATTGGTACGATCGGCCTGACGGAGAAGCAGGCTCGATGCAAGTACGGCGACGACGACATCAAGGTGTACACGAGTCACTTTGTCAACATGTACTACGGTCTGATCAACGAGGTGGATGAGGCAACTGGTGCGCCGAAGGCCAAGCCCAAGACGGCCATCAAGCTCGTGTGCGCCGGCAAGAAGGAGAAGGTCGTGGGGCTGCACATGATCGGCAAAGCGGCCGACGAGATCCTGCAGGGCTTTGGGGTAGCGGTGAAGATGGGCGCTACAAAGGCCGACATGGACAGCTGCATTGCCATCCATCCTACCGCCAGTGAGGAACTCGTGACGCTCGCGCCGTGGGGACTCAGTGGGCGTCAGTAAGCAGAGAAAGCGGTCGACAGCGGACGCGACGGTCGGTCCAACGCACTCCCTGTGTTGTAAGCGAATGAAGCGGAGAAATGATGCAACGCGACAGGTGAAGCAGCACGCAAACTCGTTGCGTCGTCGCGCAGATATCAGCGCTTCCGACGAGTTGCGACGGACGTACTGTTCGTTCAAGTGGCAGGACGGCCAGCAAATCTTCGGTCGCGACGTCTGACGTACCCGAAGAAACGTTTCACTAGCAATCGTCAATGATTCCGTAGCGGTACGTCCGTCGCAACACGTCGAGCGGCGCGAACGACTCGACGACAAACGTTCGCGTTCGACGACGTCTGTCGGCCGACCCGCACTCGCACTTGATCTCAGTATGCCAACTTCAACATGCGCGCCGCCGACGTCGTCTCCCGTCCCCCCCTCCGTCCGTCCATTGCCTCTCTTCCCGTCACTTTGTATCCATCGTTCATGACCAGCGACAGACGCCCGACCGCCACCTGCGCGTCCGACGACAGTCTTGACGCGGACCTCGTGCTGGTGTGCCGCCCGCCCGCGTCCGACTTTTGCTCGCGCTTTGTGCCGCGCGGCGCGTGCGCTGCTGTGGCAGATGGGACGACGTTCCACGTGCGCGTCCCGTCGTTCCGAGGGACGCGCGAGGGGGTTGTCACGTACGCGCTGGAGCTGCAGACGGGCCACGAGCCGCCGCACACGTTCGGGTTGGAGCGCCACTTCTCGGAGTTTGTCGCGTGGGCGGCAGCGGTCAACCGGCAGCTCCTGCGCCGAGAGGAGACGGAGTGGGGGACGCCATTCCAGTGGCAGGTGCCGGCCAAGACGTTCTTCCGCGTGACGAGCGCCGAGGCGCTGGACGAGCGGCGGCGGCGCAGTGCGAAGGAGGAGGACGTGGGCGGGGGAGAAGCCGATGATGAGGTGCAGAGCGGAGGAAGGCGGAGGTGCACGCGCGCCCAGTTCCGTATCCGCTGCAGCAGTCGCACAAACAGAGCGTCACGCACTGCTCTCCATCGCCGGCAGCAGTCGACTCACTGACCGCCGCCACTCGCAGTTCTCGCTGCACTACCAAAGTGACTGCCTCTCGTCCAACATATTCGCCACGTCGTCCCTCCCGCCGTCCGTCCGTCCGTCCGTCCGTCTTCGACCCACTCGAGTACCGCTCACGTGGCACCGCAGTGTGTACCCATTTCCCGAAAGCTCCACGTCGGTATTTATCGCACCGACCGCAATGGCCTCGTCGTCCTCGTCGTGGGTCGTGCTCAAGTTCGGCGGCACGAGCGTCTCCACTGCCGCTCGCTGGCGGTCCATCTGCGGTCAGATCCGCGCGCACTCGTCGTCGCCGTCGTCGCCCCGTGTGTGGGTCACGATCTCAGCGCTGTCACAGGTGACGAATCAGCTCACGCGCGCGCTCGCGCTCGCCAGCGCACGCGGCGGCGAGAGCCACTGCAGCGTCGCGGCGGCCATTGCGCTGCAGCACTTCTCGTTGGCCTTCGACGTGGGCCTTTTGCCGCCGGCGCTCGGGGGCGACGCGCGCGCAGCTGACGAGCGCGCGCACTGGCAGAAGCTGTGGCTCAAGAGCGTCTTCGGACACGACAACGGACACGACAGCAACGCCACTGAAAGTGAAGAGACGTCGCTGCTGTTTGCCGCGTGTCCAGTGGATCCGCTGGTGCCGGTGACGCTGCACCCGCTGCTGCGGGAGCTCCAGGACCTCGTGCGGGTGCTGCAAGGCATTAAGCTCACGGAGGAGGCGTCGCCGCGGACCCAGGCGCGCGTGTTGGCCTTTGGAGAGCTCCTGTCGACGCACTTGGGGCGGTGTATCATGGTGCACAATGGCCTCACGGACGTCGAGCGCGTGGACGCCCGCGCGCTGCTCGTGAGCGACTCGAGTCGGAGCAAGTCCGAGGACGACCGGTACCTGCAGGCCGAAGTGCTCCCCCGACGCGACGTGGAGCAGGCAGAGGCCGCCGCGCGGGGCAAGCGCGTGGTCCTCACGCAGGGGTTTATTGCCAGCACGAGCACAGGCGCCACCTGTGTCCTCGGCCGGGGCGGCAGTGACACGTCCGGGTCGCTCTTTGCTGCGCTGCTGGGGGCCCAGAAGTACGAGATCTGGACCGACGTGCACGGCATGTTTACGACCGACCCGCGGTACGTGCCCGACGCGCGACTCATCAAGAGTCTGGACTACCGCGAGGCCCAAGAGCTCGCTGCTATGGGGGCCAAGGTCTTGCACCCGCGCTGCATTGTGCCAGTGCAGTGGGGAAAGATTCCGCTCGAGATTCGCAACACGAACGACCCGACGGGCGCAAAGACCGTGATCCATCCGGCGTCGGACGCGGACAAGGACGGACAGAGCAGTCCCAAGATCCTCGCGGTCGTCAAGCGCCAGAACATGACGACGCTCAGCATCACTGCGTTCGACATGTGTGGCACGTCGGGTTTCTTGGCCAAGGTGTTTGCTCCGTTCGAGGCGTGCGGCATCTCGGTGGATCTGATTGCGACGTCGCAGTTCTCCGTCACGGTGACGCTCGATCATATCCCCGGCGGCATCCAAGGCTCGCCGTTCCAGCAGTTGCTGGAATTGCTGAACGTGCACTCCACCGTGCGTGTGTTTGAGGACTGCCTGGTGGTTTCGATCGTCGGTCGTGGTTTGCGCAAGGCACTCGCAGAGCTCGGCTGCGTGTTTAACGTGCTCGAGAACTACGACGTGCTGCTGCTCAGCGAGTCTGCTGAAGATTTGAACCTGTCGTTCGTGCTTCAGCAGAACAAGGCAGACGACGTCGTTGCCCGCATGCACAGCTACTTCTTCCCTTGCGAAAAACAGGATATGCCGGCAGCAGCAGCAGCAGCAAAGACGGCGACGGCTTTGCCGCCTCTTTCTCCGCACTCGAAGACAGTGGTTTCCAGTGCAAAAGGCACGATTCCAGCGCCGCTTTCCACGATTCCTCAGCCGGCAACTATTCGTCGCTCGCCTTCTCGTGACATGCTCTTTGGTCCGACTTGGCAGTCGTTGCTGGATGCGTCACTACCGGTCGACAAAACGGCGTGAACGAGTTGAACACCGCCAGCTGATGGCAGAACATACCTAGACGTTTGTTTGTGTTTTAGATAGATTTATAGATAGATTAGACACTGGGAATCTCAGGAACTCCGTTCCGACAGCACAGAACACTGACTCAAGTCGCGTACGTCCGTCACTCGTCACTGTCACTTTCGTCATAGTCTTCGTCTTCTTCAACCGCCAGCGGTTGCACTCGATGTCCGCACGAGACGCTGTCCTCAGTCGGTACAGCTTCCTTGCTCGAACAGCGTGACCGCTCACCACTTGTCTTCGCAGTCGCCGTTTCTACTGTTCTTGCTGCCGTTTTCGCTGACGTCCTGACTGTCTTCTTCGCTGCTGTTGTTGTTGTTTTTGCTTTCTTGCTTGAAGACCTGCGCGAAAAGGGCATGAACCGTGTTAGAGCACACTCGACTGGCAGTCGATCGCACCTCCATGGCTCAACTCTCGACTCACTTTGTTGCAGCAGTGGTCGATGTCCGCTTCTTGCCACCGCGTCGCGCTGACGTGGGGTATCTGACTGCGCTCTCGTCAATAGCAGTCACCTTCTCGTGCAAGAAACTGAGCTCTCCACTTGATAGTACACTTTTCTTCCTGTTCGTCCAAATTCAGCGCATCGGGAGTCAAAAGATGGACGCACAAGGACGACGTGACTCGACTGAAGCCGCTACGCACAACTCAATTGGTGTCAGCGCATGACCTTCTGCTGCCTGCAGTCGCATTTTGCCCGCCAAGTCCCGAACAAACAGCTCCACTGCCGACACTGTCATTGAAATGGATCAAGAGGCAGTCAGTTAGCAGGTCGTCGGCGTCTCGATCCAGAGATGGCTACATACCGCATCCGACCACGGCCGACTCGCCCACCTGACCCATATCTTTCTGCTCCTTCAACAGTCGCTTCACACGGCCCTACAGTGACAGACGCTCATTGTCAGTGTGCTGCACCAACTCGATGGACCACAGCAGTCGGTGCATCTCGGCACGAAACGCGCTGTCACCTTTAGTACGTTGCGCTGCTTCATCGTACAGTTTTGGCGACGATATCAGTGGACGTCAGTGGATGTTCTTTATCGCACTTGTTGGACCAATCATTCCGATACATACACTCACTGGTCGATATGTCTGTGTACCGTAAAGATAGAGCCAAAGGTACACAGCGGTCGCAACGGTCAAAAATCCAATCGGTCCACATCCGCCAAGCGTCAAGAACTCGTGTGATCAAATTAGAGATGTTTCGCTTCCGACCGCTGGGCTCGACCCTGCGACGGCGCCACTTGCGCGCGTGCTTGGCGTCCACTCGTCCGCTCTCTGCCGCACCGGCGGCCACAGACGGTGACGCAGCCTTCGCCCTCGGCGTTCAGTACCTGCAGCGCAGCGCCAAACGCCAGAATGACTCGGCGTCGGCCGTTCAAACGGCCGTACTCCACTGGACAACGGCGGCCGAGATGGGGCACGTACGGGCACAGGGCGCATTGGGCACACTGTACCGCACCGGGTACGCTACCGTCCCGCGTAACCTGTCCTTGGCTGTCCAGTTTTTGCAGCAAGCAGCAGACGCTGGACACGAGAAGAGCTGCTACGAAGTGGGTACACTTTTTCTGCCCGGCAGTAGTGTCAACAATGACGACGAAGATGATGACGACAATGAAGTGGTCGCTCGTGACGTGGACCGGACGCTGCACTACTGGACGACCGCAGCTGAGAAGGGCCATGCAGCTGCCAATTTGGCGCTGGGGCAGTTGTACGCCGAGGGACAGCACGTGGCTCAGGACAATGAGAAGGCCGTGCACTTCTACCGTCGAGCAGCCGAACACGAGCTGCCCGAGGCCCAATGGGCGCTGGGCACTGCGTATCTGCTTGGACGCGGGGTAGAACACAGTGCCCGCCACGCTGCAATGTCCTTTCGTCGCGCGGCTGAAGCTGGGCATGCACGGGCGCAGTTTGATCTGGGCGCGTGCTACATGTTGGGACGCGGCGTCGAAGCAGATCACGCCCAGGCCGCGCACTATTTCTTCCTCGCTGCCGAAAGCGGCGTCGTTGAAGCGCAATTGTGTCTTGCGCAGTTGTTTGAGACCGGTCGTGGGGTGCCAGTCAATCGTGACAAGGCGGTCGAGTACTACCGGTCGGCAGCAAATGGCGGACTGAAGGAAGCCACGCAGGCGCTTGATCGACTTGGTGTACCACGTGAGCCGTAGCCACAGCAGCGCCGCAATGCGTCGTTTTTACCGAGCAACTACCACGTACACTGCTGCACTAAGACACGCGATGTTGAAGTCTCCCGCTCATATATTCCCTCTTTTGTTGAACAGTCAGTCCTGTGGTCAGCTAGCGCATTCCATAGCAGCGATCGCAGGGTCTCTCGGGTCACGCCAACTGCACTGTGAGAAGGCCACGGAGACGTCGAGTTCAGGGGCAACAGGTGGCGTCAGTGTGGCCGATCCAGTCCCTTATCGCGAGGCTAGTGACGGAACACAAAAGCACAAGATTAGTCCATACACTCGGTGACAAGGGTCAGCACGCGATTGTCGCATGCCACACGCACACCGAAAAGGAAGAAAGCCACGCCCCGACGGACGTGCTGCTAGGAGCCCGCGGCTTGTGGCTTACGCTTCTACAACGACTTTCGTGACCTAGTACCTGGCTTTTTCTTCTGCTTGATTTCCGACTCGGCCACGCTGTGCAGCCGAATGACACTTGGCTGGCTCTGGTTGTACTTCTCGGCACCCATGCACCAGTCATAGGACAATGTGTACGCAAAGATGTCGCCACGAGCGTTGAACTTGCCTTTCGTAATGGACTGATTGCTAGAGTACACGCACACGATGACGTTGAATGTGAGATCAGCGTGCAGTCCAGAAACCCGAGTGACAAGAAGAGCGGGAAAGCAATCATACTTTTTGCTGAACGTTTTGAGCTTCTGACGAGCGTCCTTGTCCCAGAAACAGAACGTGCCATCCCCGCCCGTCGTGGCAAAGGTGCCAAAAGGGTGAAAAGCAACGCTGCTCACTGGATAGATGTCCGATCCGTCGCGGTGGCACTTGAACGCAAAGTCATTCCTATGACCATTCCATATCAGTGTCAGCATCAGCATTACGTGGAACGTACAGTCGATAGAGCACACGAGCAACAAATGTACGCACCTCCTGTCCTTGTCCTCGACGTGCTGGACGGCGCAACGTCCCTCGATCGACCCAATCACGAACCCCATCGCGTCTGGAAAGCACGCGATCGCCCGCGTCTGAAACTTGAGATTGGACGGGATCGACTTGTAAATCTGCGACGGTTTGCGAATGTCAAACACCTGCACTTGACGGTCGGCCGTGGCCACCACGAGCAGCGGGTGCTTGGCGTCCATAGCGTAGCAGCGCTCTGAAAGCTGGACGGTCGCCATGGCTGTTGGCGACCGCGTGTCCCAGTACTTGAGGGTCTTGTCCCAGCTGCCTGTGGCCACGCAATTGGCTTCTTGAATCGCAGCAATGCCGCGAATCGGCGCGTCATGCTGTCACGACGTCGACAGTACCGTCAGCGTTAGTCCATCGTCCATTCCTCTGAACGTCCACCTCTTTCATCAAAAGAGCTTCAGATAGAAAACTCTGCTCCCGTCTCTCTCTCTCTCTCTCACCGCAGCAATCTGTTGACCCTGTGCTGGACCGTTGAGCACCCACATCTTGGCCGTCTTGTCACACGAGCCCGAGAACACTGCATTGCCGTCCTACATCATCAGCACACAGCACAGACACAGACACACCAAACGTACAGCCAGAGGCCCCACAGAAATCCACCGTCTTAATTGACCGTCGGCAACGCAGCCCCTTTCCACACCCCAAACAGCCGATCCAGCAACGAAAACAAGCTGCAAGATGACGTACCCCACTGAAAGCAGTGCACAGAACGGGTCCGTCGTGCGCGATCTGCGCCTTTGCCACTGCGTTGAACTGCGTGCCCTGTTGCTGCACCTCCCAGCACCGCACGTAGTTGTCCCAGCTGCCCGAGACCAGGACGTTGCTCGTGGGACTCCACGCCAGGTCTTGGATGCCGTCGTTGATGGTCTCGCCGATCGTGTAGTCGTTGTGTGGGTTCAAGTACCCGCCGGGCTGTGCGGTCTGACCGAACGACATGTTGAGGTGCTCGAGGGGTTACGAATGGACTCACTCACTCACTTACTCAATGGGCTGCGCGCGGTTCTGGTCCAATAGGTCCGACGACTCGCTCAATGAGGGGGTACGACATTGTCGCTGCGAACGGTGTGACTGTCGCACGAATGTTGCGGCAAGTGCTCCTCGATCGATCTGCCTCGTTGAGGGAGGGTAGCTTGTGAAGTAACATTTGCAGCTGTGAAGGCGATGGGTTGACGACGCTACACAGTGGCAAGAAGGTGGATACGCTGACGAGCAAGCCCATGTCTAGTGTTAACAGCACGTGGTGGCAACTAGGAAGCACTTGCTACCTACTAGGAACGTATTGATCAATACTGGATGCGGAAAAGCTTCGCACGAATTCAATGTTTTGATCGAAGTGTAGATACCTACTCGTGTGATAATTTGAGCGCACATTTGCTTCCCCCCGCCCACCGCGTTCATTGGTAAGGTTGGAAAGGCAAGTTGTTCCACGTGTGTTTTACGCTATGTCTTGACGATGTACATACGCCTCAGCCTTCCTTTTCAATTGTTAATCCTTCTTCATACGCGTAGGTAACAGAAGTAGCAGCTCAATTACGACTCTTAGACACCGTAAAACACTGTCTAAGAGTCGTAATTGAGCTGCTACTTCTGACTGCGAATACTGCAGACACAATGTGGACACTTGGAAATCGGTAATGTGCGGTTAAACTGTACTATCAAACAAGTTGCTGGTCGTTCAATTGCATTTTCTCAACACATGCATTGTCGATTGCCTAGTCTTCTTGACTGGAATCTACACGAAGCCATTCGTCGAGTTTCGTAAGGCCTTGTATAGTTTGACGTGATTGACGCCGTAAATTTCATCGCTGTGGGGATACATCCACGGATGATTTCCAGCACGCATTGTACACCCGGACGCTTCCGACGTGGCAAAAACAGGTGATGTGACGATTAAAGCTTCCCTTTGACATGATAATTCGGGGTTGAGTCTTGCATCAAATAGATCTAAATCGTTCTGCATAAGCATAAAAATGCCATGCTACACACAACAAGTGTCGTATAATCCATGCATGAACAAGCACTATGGACCTTCGCGGTCAATTATTACCAAATCGCAAGTTCGAGGACCACTTCGGTATCGCAAAACTTTTACTAGCTTATCGGGTGAAGACGTTTAGCTCGCGACCTATTTTTATAGTTGATTGACCTCGTTTTGTATATTATTTCATTAAGCTTCTCACAGAAATTTCTACACCGTAAAAATCCTGATAAAATTATCATCGAACACAAGATATTCAACCGCTTCGTAATCCTTAATACAACTCGTTACCGTCAAAAGTGCGGATTCTCAGACTCGGTTTGTGAGTCATTATTACACTTTCCAATAGAAGCCCAAATGCAACATGATGTGGCGCAACCGATTGGCAAACCGATGGAGGTCGATAATGTTGAGGTAGCTCCGGCTGCGGCACCTGAGCCATTTCGACGTCGGCAGAGACATCAGTGTATCCACACGTTTGCACGCAAAAATACGTGTTTGACGAACCCTTGGCGACACACGCCAGTAGGCGTTACATCAAGTCCCTCTTTACTCATGAGCTTACCCTTTCAGATCACTGAGCCTTTATGCTAGCCTCGAAACCACCATATCCCATTGTGGTACCTCCTTGCGATCCACGCGCTTGCTAGGTCCCACAGATAGATCTAGTAGCTTCTATCTCGTGTTACGTTGGACTTACCTTGATCTCTACCTTCGCTCCTTATGCTCTGGCCATTTCGCGACCACATCTGCCCTCGGATGCAAGCTACCTTCGTCGGCATTAGCCGCGAAAAGTTGTCCTGACAATAGTTAGTATCTACACGATAAATGAGCAAAGTGTAAGGGATATATACACTGTTCCATTCTTCTTGGCCGTGTGCCATCACTAAGACAAACACCCAGTAGCTTGTAGTGATACAATACAAGCTACCGAGACTGGAAGATCGTGGGCGTAGGGCCTCGAGTCGTCACGTATACTGAACGTGCAGAGTGAGGCATAATCTATAAACAAAAAGTATAGAGAAGGGATAGGAAGAAATATAATGTGATCGATAGAAACAAAAACCCATTCAACTTTACATTAGGAAATGAAACTAAAAAAATCAAATGTAGCTAGTCGCTCACCACACATTGCGCGCGTCTAGCAGCACTGCGACGTATAGTTGGTTGATATAATGGTCTACTTGAACATTAGGTGGAGCGATGCTGAATATTACGCTCGAGGGAATATTTCTTTGCTATGTACAAAGCGAGATATATATTGATATAATTTAAAAGGATGGGGAAACGTTAACCACACCCCAGCTTTTTGTTAACCACATCCACCCCTATAAATCAGCGTAAGTTATATACTTTCCATTTTTATGCTTGCCACGGCTTGCGCCCCCATCTGAATCAACAAACCATCAGCTTGAGGTAGATTCATCACTGTATCCGTGAGTGGAAAGGTACTCGACAAGAATTTTGTGAATGGTGGTCTTTAACGACTAAGCAGATGTTTCCATAAAATCAAATTCCGTGCCGCAAACGACAGAGCTTGTAGCGTTTAGTGAGCTATTCTCGTTGATGCTGGTGATCGCTTCTGTCATGTTGATCGGCTTGGACCAGTCACTTGACTGCATTGTGCACAACGACGAGGAGGAGTCGACGTCAATACTGCGGTTGATCTCCATTTGAATCGAAACGAAGTCAATTGTAGTGCCCAGCGGATGCAGACTGCCTATTCGGGGAATCCCTATCGAGGAAAACTTAGTCTGGATCTTGTCAGACGCCTCGTCGAGCCACTACCATCATCAAATTACACGTTAGTCTGATTAGTCAATTGAACATGTATTGCGATGATTGGTGTACCTCTTGATAGACCTCTGAAGCTGGCTTGAACGCAATTTTGAATATAGTATTGTTGGATGCCTTTGTCACAGTGCCCATGCAGGATGATCGCTACAAGCCCAACCTGTTCCAGAATCGCTCGTATAAAAGTCTCATTTGACCGAGCCATTACTCGGTCAAATGAAGTAGGTGAATAATAAATGAC